GCCGTTCCCGATGACGGGCTGCCAATGAGTCTACGTTGTTAATGAATCTTGTGATATCGATATGTTTCTCTCTCACTCGGGTAAAACTTTTCGAATTCGTTAATTTTTCCACTTCTATGCTCTCAAATCTATTCCTTTGGTAAAGCTCGATCAAATTTCCTTCGCATCGAAGGTAAACTTGCCACTAAAAGCATGATAGTCCTAATTCCTTTTTTACAAATTCCACTACTATGGAATTACAAGTTAACTGTAAGATGATGAAGATAACCTTATTCTACGTTTCAATGAAGTTTACTGTCGCCGTATTTTTCCCTCGAAAAGAATTGCAGACATTTTCGACAGCCAAGAGACAATAATTTTATTATTTAATTCCATTACTTGTAATCTCGTTTATTTTCATTAGCATAACTTTTTTGAGATTAGGATATTAATATTATTTATCTCTAATATTGTCACACAAACTGTGTGCTCATCTTAGACAACTCAACCAACAGGTCACGCACATTGATAGAAAAATATAGTTGAATTAACTATAATCTTACTATATTTTATAGTTCATTTTGGCGTCAACCATATTTTTATAGTTGATGGAACCTGCAAAATATAGTAGAATAAACACAAATATATAGTCAATGACTGTCTTAAATAATTGTTTAGTTACTTTTACCACATATATGGTAATTTCTCATTCACTGATATAGTGAGATTTAATATTCATATAGTTACACATCTGTCATCATTTAGCAAATATTCTGGTAATATTGACTATACGAAAGAGTTACTTTACCTATCATTTTATATTTGTATCCATACAATAATTTTAGTTTAACTTACTATAATTCTTAGTAAAAATATTATATGGTTGGTTTTATTATGCCAAAATCGTAATTATTACCGATATTATGGTAATACTTACTATAAATATGATATTTCGGACTATAATTTAATTACTATATCATTATAATTCCAAATATCATATACTTTTCTCTCAGTGCAGTCGGAAAACTTGCGGTTCTTTTTCGGCTGTTTTTTCCTCACGTCACAAACATACGGACGAAAAACGTCCGGCGACGCGGTACCTTCATGCCGACCTGCCCCGATCTCCCGTATGTGTTTGAAATTGTGCGTGCCCTTTGCCGACTTTCCCACGTTCCAGAGTGCTTCCCCGTGCTTCCACGCTCCGACGAGAACGAGCGTCTGGTGCAGCGCGTCGCTCGTCGGAAATTAATACTAATGAACAAAAAAAAATGGTCACGACACGCGAACTAATTGGATCGGGAGTAATGCCTCTCATGGGAAACTAGGTGCTTCATTGTTGCCGGAATTAACGGAGTTACGACGGGGCGGGCGCAAAAACGCACTTAATGAAGAAGACGAGGGCGCGTGTATTCTGGGTTAACGGCAGTGAAAATGAGAACGGGAGGCTCCATCTCGATTTCGCGGGAGATTTCGCCGGCGAGATTCGCGATGCGCGACAGTTAGATGCCAAATGTCAATCGGCTCGGGCGACCCGGCCGCTCCGCGCACGTCCGTGAAATTCGTCGTTAAAAAAAAAGAAAGAAGAAGAAAGAGAGAGAGAGAGAGAGAGAGAAAGAAACGCCATCGTCTACGCCTATTCGTCTGCGAGCTCGATCCTCGCCGGAGGATCAAGATCCTCCCGCCGTCGCTTAATTGCACGATGAAATCTCGTTGGTTTCGTTGCACGAAGGGCAGGAACTCTTCCCGCGCTTCTCGCTGCTGAAAAATCCAAGAGGCTAACTGTACTCTTATCGCGGCGCACATCGCGGATGCAAAAGATAGTGACGACGCCCTCGTCGGAGATTCGGCGTTATCACTGTCGCCGCGACAATGTTGCGTTTGAGCCTTCGGAGAATGAGTCGTTAATATTGTTGCAGATCGTAAGCACGCATTTCTGACTATTGCCAAAGAGAAGTGACAATAGCGACATGCAGGGCTATCGTCAACGACACTTTGGTAGCGGCAGCTGAAGGACGAATTCGCTGACTGTGTAATTATTATTCATCGCGCAACTGTGTATCGTCGCAAACATTGTTCTTTTCTCAGCGCAGTTTCTAACGAAAACGCCGTTATTTTGGCCGTCTTCTCCCTCGAAGAAAGTACCATAAGATACTTTGTGTTTAGTTTGTATTTTCATTCGTATCTTCACTTTATGATATATCGCTTTAAAGGGGGAATTACGGAATATGCGAAGCAGGCCGTTTTCCAGGCTATTTCTACGAATTTTTGCAACAGAAACGGTGGGATCGATGAATTTAAAATTTTTACAGTATATTCATTAATGTTCAATATATAAAATAAATTTTATTGAATCACAAGGACCGATGTATAAAGTAATTTATCAGTTGATATGGATGAATTTGGTGCATAAATTATCAACCATATACTTTGCAGTGTTTTGCATCATTCGGTGATATTCGTCTTTTCGGAAGCGGTTGGCCCGCGCTCGTCGGCATCGCACTCCAAAATTTCATGCTGCCTTCTTTCTTTTCTACTACGTTTTACAACGCCTTTGCCTCCTCCCATTCGCTCTGCAGCCTCACTTTGTCGCGTTTTTTTTTTCCACTGCGGAAAACTACAGCGAAGATCGAAGCTATGTGTTGCACGAAAAACGTCGGTACATCGTACTACTAAAAAATTACTGGTATCTCCAATGTGTAACTTGCATATCTCGTATTTTAGTTTGTATTTTCATTCGTATCTTCACTGATACATCGCTTTAAAGGGGGAATTACGGAATATGCGAAGCAGGCCGTTTCCAAGGCTATTTTTGTAACAGAAACGGTGGGATCAATGAATTTAAAATTTTTGCAGTATATTCATTAATGTTCAATATATAAAATAAATTTTATTGAATCACAAGGACCGATCCGATTTGTAATTATAGATAAAAATGTAGTCAGTCTGTCTGCGTGCTCTATGTTTGCTGTCGACATAATTCCGGGCCTCTCACTACTCTGAAACCAAAAACTGAGAAAGATTTTTAAAATATACGGTTGCCATTATAGCCCGTACTCAAATGAAGGCAGCGAAGCCAAATTTGGAAAAATAACGATTGTACAAAAAGAACGCGTCGAAAATGAAACTTTTTCAACTTGTAATCATGTTTAAAAAATAAATAAAACAAAATATAACTGTGTTCGAGGTAGGGGCGAAAACTATATGTCTGCTGCGTATTGTAAAAATTTCAAGTTATTCGGTTCAGTAATTTTTGCGTAATCGTGCCGACAGTTTAAAAAAGTGGTGTTTCCAGATGAACGCGTTTAAAGTTTTATGTGTACTTTCCATGTAGATAATAACAAATTTATTTTATACTTTGAACACATTAATGAATACACTGTGACAATTTCAAGTTCATTGATCCTACCGTTTCCGTTAAAAAAATTCGCAAAAATAGCCTTGAAAACGGCATGTTCCGCGTGCAATTTCCCTCTTAATTACTTACGGTAAGATGGTTATTACAGCTCATTGCCGTTGCTTCGCCCATCGGTTTTGCTTTCTTCCCCACAAACTGTATACTATTGTTTACTTTCTCCTTTCTTCCTTGTAACCAATAAAATTGTCATCATTGTTATCAATGTTGTGCCTTTTCCTTCGATAAAATTCATAGAACACTCGAGAGCCCCAACTTCTTACATACTTCATATTTTTACCTTATACTTTCATTTATATCTTCATATTGTGATACATCGCTTTAACTGCTCAGGTAAGATCACAGTCATCGCAGCCCATTGCCGTTGCTTTCTTTCTTATAAACTGTATATGCTATTGTTTACTTGTCGAGTCGATGAAGCTGTCAGCACGTTAAATTCTGTCGCGATGGCCAAGATACCATCCCAGGCAGAACAGAAAATCATGATGACGTCAAAATGACGTCAAAATAATGAGAAATTAATCGAAGATCGATCAATCGAAGTCTAAAAGATCGATTTCAAATCGATTTGCTGGAACCGAATCGATTCAAGGCTCGATCTGTAAATTCTGAACATCGCCAATACGATTTTTTCAGTTTCTACTAGTAATATAGTTTTTTTTCTAATCCTTTTTAGTTGTAATATTTGATGGCTCACTTAATGGCTGCACGATGCACATTACGTTGCCTTTAGGCCGTTTATGTCCCGCGGGCGAAAATTTTCAGCGGAACAGGACGCGTGAATCACAGTCACAGCCACTCCATATAATAGTATATATTATATACATATGTATATGCGTATAATAATAAACGTGATTTCTTATTTAATAACGTTTAAAAACCCTTGACTGATGTTCAATCAAACCAATCAAATCCTTAGCATAAAGATTTAAGGACCTTTTTCTATCTTGTTGTGGCCGCACACACAACACAACCCAAAGAGTACCATCTGTTTAATTTCTTTCATTCATATTACACTTTATACGAATTACACGAGGTCCACTTTAGAACTGTAGAAATTTGACAGTAGATATCTTTAATGAGTGGCTCACTTTACATGCATACCGATTCAAAGCGATTCTTTACAAACCGACTTTTTCAAGATCGATTCTTTTCTTCGTGATTCGAGTCGATCTTCAAATCAATCTGTTTGAAAAACAATCGGCGTCCCTACCCTGTGCAGAATCAGCGAAAATCATATCGCGGTGCTTAAAATCATCGCTCCCTCCCTCCCTCCCTCCACCCCCGCGGTAGCGGGACGCACGTAAGGCGCGTTTGACAGGTGCTCTTCCGCGAGCCACGTGCGACGCGAGACGGCTCGAGAGCCGCGGACGAGAAACAACGCGCACCAATCGAGGAGCTCGCGACTGCAAAGAAGTGGTGGGAGCCGCACGTGGGAAGAGTGACGGAATAAAAGAGAGAGAGAGAGAGGGAGGGAGAGAGAGAGAGAGAGAGAGAGAGAGAAAGGGGGAGGGAGTGAGAAGGAGACAGAGACAGCGACCGCTACACTTAGCTATTTCATTACCTTCACTCGATCCTTGGCCGCAGTGTACACGGAGCCGCGACCACGTTCCGTCCGCGCGATCCTCGGTCGCGAGAACGAGATATCGATCGACGCGATCGAACCTCGCGCGCGCGCGCGTGCGCACACACACACGCGCGCACAGCAGCAGCACAGCCGCCGCGCGTGAAACACGGATGGATCGCGCGCGAAGTCGCGAGAACGCACAGTGAATCCCCCGAAAAGCATCCCCCCTCGGAGGTGAAGGACCAGACACGATTTCGCGGGATTCCGTGGGAACAGGTGAGGGTGACGGGCCACCTATATGAGGTGCTGGGATCCTGGGAGGTCATATGCTCGTTGTCCTGTTGAGAGTCCTCCGCTCTTCAGGTACGTTCGCGTGCGCGCGCGCGCTGCGCAGTATCGTTAAAAAGTCAAGCCTTGAATACTAGAATATTTCTGTTCTGAACCACAACTATTTGATAAAAATTTTTAGCAATGTGTAAAAAAACAGTTTTACATCGTATAAAATTGTTTAAAGGAAGAATAACAACCTTCCGGCGTAAAAGAAAATTTTCTTTTATTTCAACATAAATGGCCCGGACTATTTGTAAACATTATAAATCCTCCCCTTAAAAAAAATACAAAAAATATACATTAACACCTGGCACGACAGTGGCAGCAGTTAAAAAATATCATCGAGTGAACTTTTACTTATCCTAAAAGTTAACGAAGGTAGTAGCGTCGCTTTTAATGGACACTTGCCGCGATTAACACGACGGCGAAGAGAGCGCGCCGCTCTCGTACTCGCTCTCGTTGTCGCTTCACCTCGCAAATCGGGTGTCGGGCACGCGGCAAAATTCACCCTCGAGTTTCCCCAACGAGTGTCCGGGGTGAAATGTGTAAGTTACACCCCTGAGAGGAAGGTGTCTCCTCTTCTAGCTTTGTTTTTCCGGAAACGCGCACGACGTATTCTCGTTGAAACATCCGGCGAATGGGAGAATGCAGAATCTTATTTGCTTGATGCTCATGAAAGAGGCTTAATGAATCTCAGGGTTATTCAACGAAGCAGATGGACGAAGTTTCAGATTCGAGTTGGAGAAGTCTGACGAGTCCTGAGATTCGTCGAAAGTGTTTCATGGAGCTTGAGATTACTCAAAGAAGCCTGATGAGGCTCAACCACTCGTTGAAGAGTATTAACGCGCAGGCTGCTGAAAAAAATTCGTCACCGACGAGTTGCCCGTCGACAGTCGATTGTCGTATCTTGCACGAGAGGTTGCGGCTTTTCATTCATTTGCGGACGCGTATACCTTCTGCTCAAAAAGTACACGGAATCACTCGTCTAAATGACGCGCGTTTATGATATTTCGAAATCCTTTCCGCGGTTAAGTTGGTACCACTGTACTTGACTTCCTGTCAGAATTAGAGCGCGATCTATCAATTAGTTCGTTCGTGGCAGCTATTTGTGCCAGTCGACTTCAGGTGTCGTTTTTACGATTTTTACGATGTCGAATATTGTGGAGCAAAGAGAGAGCCTCGAATTTTATACTTCCAACGAAATTTCTTATATACCAACACCATAAGAAATGATGTGTTAAATTTAACATGTTTCATGTGTCTCAAATCATCCACTCTCATTTATGTGCTTATTTAACATACAGCAAATATGTTAAAAAATAACACACATAATATGTAAAAAATTAACACAAAAATTTAACATTTGAATGCCGTCAAGAATCACACAGTTTGTGTTAAATTGACATGCTATGAATGTTACTTCAACATTTGGGAAAAGTAATGATCTATGATTTGATGAAATTTGATCGAATGAAAATGTTAAACTGATATAATCTATGTGTTAAAAATCCAATCTTTATATAATACAACACATGATAACTGTTGTAATGAGGAAATTAACACATTTTAGGTGTTTTAACATATAAAACTTTAACATATAAAATATGTCAGAGCAAGAATTCATGCATTTACATATAAATTGTGTTATTTTAACATTTAAAAATTTTATCTTAACACTTGAAAATAGTTAATCTTAACTCAAGAAAGTCTAAGTAACACAACAACGATATGTTAAATCAACATACGGCTGTGTAGAAAATTTCACACAAAACTTTCTACACACAAAAAATTTTAACAAAAGTGCAAAACGTTTTTAACTGTGAACCAACGCGTCGAAGTGCTAGAAAAAACATACGGGGGTGACTGTATTTCAAAAACATAAGAGTGTGAGTGGTATAAATTGCTCAAAGAGGGTCGTGCAGCCGTCGAAGACTCGCCTTGTCCTGGTCGCGCCCATCCACGTCAAATACTGACGAAAACGTCGGAGAAGAGCGAAGAAATCAGAAGAGCTCGAAAATCGCCGTGTGAGTGAAAGAGAGATCGCTGCCGAGCTTAACGGCTATCAAACGGCTCTGTCCATATCATTTTGACCGAAAACGACTCGTGGATTTTGCATCAGGATAACGCACCATCGCTTCTCCTACGTGACTATTTGGCCAAACACACTCGGCTAACATCATCCGGCGAGCACTCTGTAATTTTTTCCTCCTGCCAAAACTCAAATTATCGCCTCGTGGTGAGCGTTTTCAGACGACTGAGGCAGTAAAAGAGAATCCGCTGAAGGAACTCAAGGCCATAGCAAAATCGGCTTGTGAAAAGTGTTTTGAAGGGTTGGATCGAGCGTTGCCATGTGTACGTTGCGCAGAATGGGGACTATTTTGAGAGCGACGAAATAAATTTACCTGAATAATTACCTGAGTACCTTGTGCTTTTATTGGCCGAGACTTTTTGAGCGGAAGGTATTACGAGATCGAGCGGGATCGGTTATCCGAGTCAGCCGAATTTGCGCTCTTGAAGAAAGGTGTCCCGGCTTCACTCGCGCGCGCGTGGATCTCTCGCTCTTTCGCCGAAATCCATTCAACGGCCGCTCGCGGTCGTTTCTTTCGGCGGCACTTTCGCGCGCGGTGACTAATTGCGGCAGCGCGACACCGGTGAGAAAGACACGAAGAGGCGACGCCGCGCGGAGCGAAGGCGCGCTCTGCTGGCGGTGTTCGAATTTTATCGCCGTTGTTGCGAGCGCTCCGTTGCGCCGAAGTCTCGCTCGTAAAGGCGGACAGCTGAAATTTCACGAGCGAGCCGCGAGAGACGAGAGAGAGAGAGAGAGAGAGAGTATGCGCGGCCCATTCGTCATGCTCAAAGGACAAGCCGTTATTAACGTTATCGCCAGCTGTATCATTTGCAAATTGAGTTTGCCCGTTTGATCGAAGCGCGCGGCGGACTCTCGACGGCCGAGCCGCCGTGCTAATCCGTGGAAATTCCCTACGAAAGCGAGAGCAAGCGGCGACACGAAAGACCTCTCGCGACCCAATCGCGGGATCCACACCCCAGTTTCCCACAAAAGTGGGATGAATCCATCCGAGGGTTCCAAGGATTAAGTTTCCTTTCCTTTTCGATTTCTATGCCACATTCATATCCAGCGAAGTGCCTGCAACGCTTTGAGCGACTTGAGCACACTTTGCTGGTGTAAATACTGGTAGGAAAAACTGTAACTATTCAAATGATTTCGAATAATCTTTCTCGAGGACGAGTCAAAAATATCCCGAGTGTGAAACGAGTGCGAGAGCCAAAGCTCTGTGAATATTTCCTCTGGTTCTCACTTTAGGATTTCATATTTTATTTCATCCTCTGTTTAATATCTAGTGCAATATAGTTGATATGAATGCCGCAAAAATATACCGTCGTCGCCGCCGCGATTTCCAATCGGTGTCAGTCGGACGACCAATTTTCGGACCAATTTGAGAGTTTTAAATGGAATCGACGCTGCCGGGATCCGGGAAAATCCTGAGAAACTTCTGCGCGAAGGACCTCTCCCTCACAGACGAGCCCGCGCACTCCCGGCGTGCGTTTCGAGTTTCGAGTTTCGAGCTTCGATCTCGTAGAGATGCGCGAATCAAGAATTTTTATATCGAATCGAATCGAATCGAATCGAATCGAATCGAATCTACGAAATTTCACTCGAATTCGAATCGAATCCAATGAAATCGAATCAAATCATTAAAAAATGCTCTCTAAGAAGCTCCATTTTTAAGATGGTATTAACATGATTTTTACTCCGTCTATTAGTAAGTAAATGTGGCTAGCCAAATATCTTGGATAATATTAAAGCATTAAGCAACAAGCTCTGTGATTGGAATCTCTTGCAAAGTCCTCAAAATTAATTTTCGCTCTCCTAATATATTCACTGGTGGGGATATATTGTAGAGATGTGCGAATAAAGAATTTTTCTGTCGAGTCGAGTCGAATCGAATCGATGAAATTTCACTCGAATTCGAATCGCATCATTAAAAAATTTAACATGACTATTAAACATGCAAATAATGATGGAAGATTTTAATATGAGAGGGAATATTGATATTGTAATATCATCTTAAAGTGAAATATATATTTAAATATTTAAAGTAATTTATAATTAAGTTATTAATTACAAGTTAAGTTAATTACAAGTTAAGGGTTCAAATATACAGGCCCAGATGGCCCGTTTTGTAGCTGATGAGCACGCAAACGATAATATATTTGATTTCTATTCAAATTATTCGTATTCGAATCATAGGGATTCGGGTTCGAATCGAATCGAATTCGAATAGTTCGCACATCTCTACGATCTCGGCGTCTGTCTCGAGTCGGTGCGCATTTTATAGATACTTCGCAGCTCGTTCGCGCTTTCGCGTCAGCCCAAACCGCTCGCTCCAGCCGCCAATATTCTTCAACGAGGCTTAATTGTTCCACGATTGAAACGTAATTCCAACTCAGACTCGGCGGAGCGGCCTCGGCAGTCGCGATCAAACGCGGGCCTCGCGAAGTAACGTCTTCCGAGAGGGAGAGAGACGGATTGTCGCAACTGCGCGATCGCCCTCCGGACGATTTGTCTCCCTTTTATTCCGCGCTTCATTATGAAACGCCGTCTCTCGTCAGGAGAGAAAATAAAACGCTGCTTCTCGCTGTCGGTGCTGGAAGCGCAGAGAGAAGAGGAGAGAGGAGAGAGGAGAGAAACGCCGGCCGCTGCAACTCTGATTTTAGCGCCGAACAAAGAGCGCGGTTACGTAAAAGGGCCAATTAAATGCATCGCTCCCCGTCCGCTCTCGTGCCCGCCGCGGGACAATCGCGGTCGATCCGCGAAAATTGACCCGATGATGACTGGCGCGTCTCGCGTCCCACTCTTTTCGTTTTTTTCTTCTCTCTTTCCCCCCCTCCCCTCCTTCACTTCTCACCGGGAAATCGGCGAACGCGACGCGCCGCGCGGAAAGAGGCGCGACGCTCTAGTTGCCGCTGTTTCTCCTTTATTTCTGCTTTTATTCGACAAACGGCACGTAACA